ATATTTAGCTAAGCCCACAGCCTACTTTGAGCTCCTTAATTAAGAAAAGTTATTTTTCAGAGAAATCTCCTTAACATCCCCTACTGCGGGCTTCTGGCTGGTCTTCCCAATAAAGTAGTATTAGCTGTTAGGCATATCTACAGTCATAAAGATGGAAGATATGAACCTACTTCATTTTCATTTTAACGTTGGCTACCTTACAATGTCAAAGCAAGGTATCCGCAACATGTGACCATATATTTCTAGCCATGTCCAATGTTCCACTATTACTGATTTTAACACTCTAAAAAGCTATCCATAGTACCTTAACTTGTGCTCTTTATATCGGTAACTTAAAGTCACTCTTTTGAAAAATTCTCTTCTCCCCATCCATCATGCCCTAAATCAATTGAAGAGAAAGAGATACAGTTAGTTAAGGTCTTACATATCATCTCCTAACAAAATGCAAGGAAGATGATGACTCTTTCCACAGTGGTGTTATGTTGCAGCACTTTCATTGCCACAGTTAGAATATAAAGAGTTGTCTTCATTTCACTTACAGAATTAATTACGACAATTTAAAGGTTCTCTTGCCATCTATAGTCAAGCACATCACAATGCTTACTAATAATATCAGTGTTTGTTTGTTGGTAATTAAACGCAAAAATGCACCATGGGCTATATGTGCTCTGCCCACCACGAGTATCGAAACCCGGTTTCTAGCGTTGTAACTCCGCAGACATACCGCTGTGCCACTGGGGGGCCATAATATTAGTGAGTGATGTGGACTATTTCATTGCATCCAGTGTATATGACCATTATATGGTCCTGCCTTTGCTTACATGAATCTCATCAGTCTAATAGGAACATGTTCCTTCTATTTAGGGCAGGGTACATGGAAGTTAATATTCGTCCACTTGAGAAAATAAACAAGGTTCAAAATTAATACAAATATATTCGCCATCTAGATCTTCGTATTCCAAGTGAAAATAGCCACTCAGATATAGTAGTAATGTCAATGTTTTCTCTTTAATTTAGATGATATCAATATCTTGATCGCTACTTAACATGTTATAAATTCTACCGAAAAGACATTTTGTGTGAAGGATGGATTAATGAGGGAATATCATTACTAGTTGACCACCATTCTCTCTCAGTACATATATATATATATATATATTTACCACTTATAACACCTTTGAGGTCATTGCTATCAGTGTCTCCTTTGATCACACTAAGCTTTCTTTACCTGTCATCAGGAGAACTATTTTATCAAGCAGGTATGGATAATTTTATTGAGCAATTGCTGCCTCCTTTCATTATCCAGGGATACTTAACTAGACACAATCTAGTAATGGCAGATCTATTAATGTAAGGAATTGCACTGTGTAGTGTATACTGTCTTATCACAGCCTTTCTCTCCTCGGTGTTCAGAAGTATACAGGGTGGGCCAAAAGTAGGGTTACAGTTACTCTATTATTTGTTTCTCCTTCATAATCACGTTTTAAATATACAT